GTGAAGGTTTTTTTGGTATTTAGTGGTGTGATTTCTTAAGAATGTTATTGTTAGAGTGATTGAAAACAAATTTCGGTCTGATGAATGAGCTCTCATGGAACTGATTTATTCCTACGACAGCACTAACTCGAATGTGCACATTTTAAGGCACAATTTGGTATTTGCACAATTACATTTCGACGTATATTTGTGTGCGTTCGATTTGTGACCGCAAATTATCGACGTATAGACATCACACAAACACACAAATGTATGTATAGACTGATGGTGTTGATGGTACGGAGAAAAATTGATTGGTGCAATTTTTTCATTTCATTTGTGTTTCATTGTGCAACGAATAGACATTTGTGTGGATAGATACGGAGAGGATTTATTCATTTTAATATTTTGCTGCCTGATAAAAAGGAATACGCTGATGGGACATTTCAGTGAAAAAGTTGCTATCATCACCGGTTCGTTTTGACTGTTGTTTTTTTTTTCGGGGAATTTCTCAACCGTGATGGTTTTATTTTTTATTTTTTGTAAAATTAGTCTGATATGATATTGAGACTTGTAAATAATGTAGGAAATATTTTGCACTTTACTTCAACGTGTTTTCGATTTTGAAAGCAAAATGAACATTTGGGAAGAAACGAAGACGAAAAGTTAGTTTCAGAGGGTTGCTGAATGAGTGTTCTTGGTTTTAGGAGCAAGCGGTGGTATAGGTCATGCGACAGCAGTGCTTTTCGCGAGAGAGGGTGCAAAATTAACAATCACAGGCAGAAATGCGCAGAATCTGGCTGTACGTTTTCGATTTTGATTCATTCCGCGGTTTTGTTCCGATATGATGATGCTGCTTCTGACATATTGTGATACCTACCTCGTCGACGAAATCCTCTTCATTTCCACCTTTAATTCAATCGTAACCAATCATCCAACATTCATTGGATGGTTAGTTACGATTGAATTATGATGATCAAAGTCTCAGCGCATTATGGATCTTATCAAAAAAGTTCGCAGCTGCTAGAAAAATGCCATTGTAGGAGCCATAATTAGCTAATGCATTTCAATTAGTTAACGTTGCTCTCTCAAACAACATTTTTTATTAATATTTTCATCGCTAATTGATCACAAAATGCGCTTATTCTTCCATCTTTGTCATTGTCTTCATTTGAAGCAAGTGAGAGATTCCACTTGTGAATGAATATTTCATTTGAAATTTCACTTTTGCTCATCAAAGCAAGTCCATCTAGCGGTAATATTCGATTGATGAATCATATCACCATTACTCTTCATATTGCCTCATCAATGCATCTTTTTTATTTTCTTTATTCATATTGTTACATGTGATCGAAACCGCAATCACATTGCTTACTGCACCACCTTATTGCATGCATGCTTCAGTGGAAGATTCAACTTTGAATACGAACATTTTGGCCATGGGACTAGTCACAATATGAAACTTACAATCTGCTGAATTCGGGTTTTCTCCATCCCTCAAACTTCTGCAATGCTCGAAATCGTTAACTGGTAAATAGGACTGCAGCAATACAAGCAGTAATATCCCACGCCCTTTCCCCGAATTTTCAGTCAGTGAGAGACATTCATCCTTGTAATGATATTTCATTGAAATGCAAGCATTCTCTCATGTGATAACATAACAATCCAATAGTCGTGCACATCCACTAGTTTTCTTCAACATCGTCCGTGCGATTGTTCGTGTTCTTTTGTCTCACTGTAACTATGGTATCGATGCGTAAACAATCTCAATTCTTTGTAGTGCTGAGAAAGTGGCAATGAAATTTTGGAAAAACTGCGCAGAGTGTGATGTTCAATGGAAAATGTTTGACAAAGATTTATATAGAATGCACCGAAACTGTCTTATCAAGATGAATGCACATCTTATGATTTTGAATCATGTGATCTTTTGTCATATGACCTTATCATGGATAAACTTTGTTGGCTTATCAATCTTTCCTTATGTAGCATTTAAGGACTAACGTGAACTGTTAAAGTTTCTGATGGTTGGTAAATACCTGAAAAGAATATAGTGGAAAGCGAGTAGAACATGCGAACATGGGTCATAGGTGCTAAGGTTGCATGGTACAAGATCATACCACTTAGATTTTAAAATGTGCTGGGTCAGATTTGCTCGATCGGAGGTGTTGTTTGTTGAACAGTTGGTATATTGAGTGAAATTTTATAAAGTACGGTTAGCTAGTGATACCAATAATTCTAAATGAGAACTCAATTCTATGAGTGCACTGAATTTTTGAACGCTTACTATTCAGAGGACAAAGGCGGACTGTATAAGAGTTGGTGCAAAAGATCGTGATGTATTTGAACTGCTTGGCGATATAACTCTTGAGAGTGTTCAAGATGATATTATCAACGAAACGGTTAAAAAGTTCGGCAAAATCGATATCCTTGTAAGCGTTTTGGTTGGATTCTCAAAGTTGTAGAGCTTTCGATCGCTCACAATTAGGGAGAAATGCAAAGTGAAGATAAATTCGCTATTTATAAGTTGCATCAGTGAAAACTCATCGAACTGAAGTTGCACGCCTGAGCGTTGCTTTCCATTTTACATAATGCACTTTTGTCGCAGCAAAATTCTTCGAAGAAAATTATCTGACTTTCGAAAGCATTCTCTCGAAGGAATTTTGAAAAGTAATTGTATTGAAGGCAAATATTCATGGAGGTGGTGAACTGGAGCGCGATGAAGACGGTAATTTAAGATTGTGTGTTTATGATACGGTGATGAACACTAATTTCAAAAGGTTTCGCGTTGCATTTTCAAGTTCTGCAATATAATCGAATACACTTTCCAGTTAATATGGATATCCGATGGATTTATTGGATTTTTGAACTGAAAATTGATTCCAAACCACTCTCATCATACTTTCTTATCTGTACATCTTTCTCAGAGCTTTTCATTACTGGGCAGGGTTACGCTCACAAAGGTTGTACGTCCATCCGTTCACAAACAAAATTTTACAACTTGAGAACGAATCATAAAAATTGCCAAATGTCATTTCCGCCTCTAAAAAATGTTATTTCAGTAAATATATGCTGTGCCTCAAAGCGATTCCGTTTCTCAAAGAAACGCACGGTGATATCGTTAACGTGAGCAGTATTTCATCACGAATTGCTGTACGCATAAGCTTATTCTTCATCTTCATTTATTGCAGCTCTTATCCTATCGCAAACATATTTACATTCAAGTACTATCTAATAACCGATTGATTGCAGCACAAGCAGC